CCACAAACCAACACTCTTAGAGGTGTGTGATTTCCCTCCCGCATGTCACATGTCCAGGTCAGCGCTCACCGTCACGTGCAAGGCTGCCAGGGCCTCATCTATGGCAGCCAAGTAGTCAGGCAGCAGGTCCAGGAGACAGGTGGCCAAAAAGACGCCCCCCGCAAAACAGCTTACTAGGCTCAGCGCTTTCTGGCGGGAAGCTGGGTAGGGGTTAAGCACAGAGGAGAATGAGCAAACAAACCCCCTCCAGGGCCCACCACCCCAACCCAAACAATGGCTACCCTTGCCTTTCCCTCCTCCTTTGGTCACTCCCCACAGCCCCAGAGCCCTCCCTAAGCCAAGCATTCATAGGAGTGTGGGGAAAAGGAGAGGTTTACCTGAGGCTTCATGGTTAGCTCCTGGCCGGCGCAGCACACAGATGGGCACCAGGCTGCAGAGGAGGGTGAGCACCAGCAGCAGCACCAGGGCCCCCAACTTCACCTCCAGCCCCACAGGCACTGGAGGCTCTGAAGCTACCGCCTCTGGGCGCCACACCAGGAGCTCTGGCTCTCCCCAGGGCCCCATGGTGCTGCTGGTAGCTCCAGTGACTCTCAGACCTAGGAAGACAGACCACAGTGGGTGGGGAAAAATCATGCAAGGGAAGATGGGGCAAGGAATGGAGAAGCTTGGTCAGCAGAGGGCAGCTCCCTGGCCCCAGCCACTTTGTGACCTTCCCCAACCCAGGGTGACTCATCTACTCCTGTACCAGGAACATTCCTCTCTTCTCACACTTTCTTTCCCAAGTGACTTATTCAGGGAGACTGCAAGGGGGAAACCTAGGCCTGAGAAAGGCTGTATGGGTATCTCATCACCCTTTCACCTGGCGCCCCCAGCGAACTAGGAAACTAGGAGCCGCCTCCAAATAGGACCTGGAGCTGGAGTTCCCCTAAGGAATGTAGAGGCCAGGTCCCCAACTCCCGAACGGAGTGGGTGAAGCCAAAAAGGCTGGGGCTGTGCAGAGATGTCATGGGTATCTTCGTGGGTCGCCTGGACAGGGTAAGTTTGGGTGCTGGATCGCTCCATCGTTCCCCTTTTCCCAGCGTAGAGAGCAAGCGCTTCAGGCCCCAGGCTGGGACCTAGAGGCAGATAGCCAAGGAGAGGGGCCCTAAGAGTCTGCGGTCCCGGGACGGACTAAGGCGACACTGAGGGCGGTGCCTGAAAGTCCGGGCTCCAGGAGGCGGGGTGCGAGGCCGCCAGCGTCGCGGGAAGCAGATGAAGAATGCGTGAACTGGGACTCCTGCTCCCGGGCCCGGGGAGGCCTGGGCAGCCCGACCTGGACCCCGCTCCCAGGGAGCCCGCACTCACCTCCCGAGGGTCTCACTACATGGTCTTCGCGCGCTTCCGGCCTAGAGTCGGGAATTCCCGCCCCCTCGCATAGCTCCCCCCTCCCCCACAGAAGCCGCGTACCCACGCCCGACTGCCAATGGCAGCGCCGAGTGGGCGGGGACAGACCGGGAGTGACGTGAGTTAGTAGCAATCAGAGACCGGGAGCGGGAGCGGGCGGAGCAGACGACGAGAGGAGAGTGAGCGAGAGCGAGGGCGGAGATTAGGAAAAGGACCTCGGGGCTGGTGCCCTGGTGCGCAACTGTGGAAGACTGACGGGCCGGAGCGGGCCGGTCAACAAAGGCTTTGATTATATGGATATTTTTAAAAGAGGGAGACCCCGCACTGTCAAGTCTTCCGGCCCACATCTGAAGACATGTTCCTGGCCTTGGGCCAAAGTCTCATCTGTCTCTCAGAAGGCTCTGACACCCCGTCAGTGCCTCTTGGTGCCCAAGGGAAGGCATTCCCTTCTTGTCACCAATTTCCTTGCCTGCTTTCCCTCGCCAGCACCCACAACAAGGAAAAAGACAAAGCAGAATTGGAAAGCGGGGAAAGCAAAGAGAGAGGGTATGTTTTGAAAATCATCTCTTCTCGACTACTCCTGACACTCAGTGCAGCCTCCACCTTCTCCAGGTGGGTGGGGACGTGGTGGGACCGGAATGCGGGGTGCTGAAGCCACGCCCAGGGAAGAGCCCCCAGCGCATTCCAGGCTACCTGCGCACCGCGCCTGCGGGCATCTGGCCAGCTCTCCCACCTGATCTCCAGCCCAGCTCCCGCCACCCTCGCCGGTCTGCTTGCTGTTTGCTGTTCCTTGAATGCCCCAAGGTAGTTGTTTCAGCTCAGGACTTTCACCGTTTCCTCAACCTGGATTCTCGTGACTCGCAACCCTGTGCTATGAGAATCCTCTTCTAGCCTCAAGGGACGGTAAAGACAAAAGAAAATTTAAAAAGGGGGCCAAGCTATTCTTTTATGCAAAGGTGAAAAAAGCTTCATTGCCTAAAGAAGGAGATGGGATCTTGCTTCCTACAGCAAAATTAATTTTAAAAAAAGAAAGAAAGAAAGAAAAAAAAGAACAGTGTAATGCTTCTCACAAGGCTCCAGAAACGAAGCCCAGTAATTCCTTAAGTAAAAGAAGAATGTGAAGACTTCTTAAGGAGCTGGGCGCGGTGGTCCACGCCTGTAATCCCAGCATTTTGGAAGGCCGAGGAGGGTGGATCACCTGAGGTCAGAAGTTCAAGACCAGCCTGGTCAACATGGTGAAACCCCGTCTGACTAAATATACAAAAATTAGCCGGTCATGGTGGCGGACGCCTGTAATCCCAGCTACTTGGGAGGCTGAGGCTGAAGCAGGAGAATCGCTTGAACCCGGGAGCCGGAGGTTGCAGTGAGCCAAGATCTCGCCACCGCACTCCAGCCTGGGCGACAGAGCGAGACTCCCCGTCTCAAAACAAACAAACAAACAAACAAAAAATTGGCCGGGCGCGGTGGCTCACGCCTGTAATACCAGCACTTTGGGAGGCCGAGGCGGGCGGATCGCGAGGTCCGGAGATCCAGACCATCCTGGCTAACGTGGTGAAACCCCCGTCTCTACTAAAAAAAAAAAAAATACAAAAAAATTAGCTGGGTGTGGTGGCGGGCGCCTGTAGTCCCAGCTACTTGGGAGGCTGAGGCAGGAGAATGGCTTGAACACGGGAGGCGGAGCTTGCAGTAAGCAGAGACCGTGGACCACTGCACTCCAGCCTGGGCGATAGAGCGAGACTCCGTCTCAAAAAAAAAAAAAAAAAATTATTCGTAATTGGTAACATTAACAAGGAATTATGACTGGAGGGGTCAGGAAACCTGGACTCTGGTCCAAGCTCTACATTTATAGTTGTCAAATATATACATATATATATACACACACAGATATGTCATATATGACTAATAATTGTATATATTTATGGTGTACAACATGATGTTTTGAAATATATGTACATTGGGGCTGGGCGCGGTGGCTCACGCCTGTAATCGCAGCACTTTGGGAGGCCGAGGCGGGTGGATCACGAGGTCAGGAGATCAGGATCATCCTGGCTAACACGGTGAAACCTCGTCTCTACTAAAAATACAAAAAATTAGCCGGCCGTGGTGGCAGGTGCCTGTAGTCCCAGCAACTCGGAGGCTGAGACAGGAGAATGGCGTGAACCCGGGACGCGGAGCTTGCAGTGAACCGAGATCTTGCCACTGCACTCCAGCCTGGGCGACAGAGCGAGACTCCGTCTCAAAAGAGAAAAAAACAAAAACAAAAACTTGTCAGCTCTATTTGCTGTAAGAACTATATGAGTAACATGAAAATGCCTGACTAGACCCTGTTCCTGTTTTTACTCTTAGCTCGTTCAAATCTTCATGAGGATAATTAACAGCAGTTTGAGTTCTGGGATTCACACTCCAAACTACTGTTTTACTCGCCCAGCTACCCTTTTCTGAAATACTACTGGAAAACCATACCTGTATCAGTTAACCTCCATTATTTTATTTGAAGTGAATTCCTGGACCATGAGACATTAGACCAAAGCTAAAAATAAAAATAAAAAAATCAATCAACCCTGAGTTTTGGTATTACTGCTTTCAAGTCATGGATCTGCCTCCTCATAGGTAAAATCTGCAAAATATTACCCGCCGTGTGTGCCTCAGAACCGTTATGGATTAAGGAAGAGAACAATGTTTATGAAAACGTTTTGTAAATTATACAAATGTGGGACATAATGTTCCTGGTAACTGTATGCAAACAATAAGACAACAAAACAAACGCAAAAGCCTTTTTAACTTGTTGCAGTTTTCCTGCCCGGTGTCCCCTCCGCGAATGAGCAGCGTGCAGCGAGCATGTGCGCGCAGTTGCGGTTCTCCATCAACGCCACACTGCTCGGCCTGCGGACGGGGAAACCTGCCATCGTGCGCCTGCGGCCTGCCGAGCGAGGCTCACCGTTCCACTGGGGTCAGTGGGCTATTGACTCCCCGCCTGGGTGAAACCGGAGCTTCCGAGTCACGTGGCGCGCGAAGACAAACCAGGCTGCTCAGGGTTTCCCGTAGCTTTCCCCCAGCTTCCTGGCGATTCATATTCTGGCGCTTACCCCTCCCTTTGGTCCGGCGGAACCCAATCCCCGCCTGACAAGTAAGTCCCGCCGGCCGGACGCGGTGGCGCGCGCCTGTGGTCCCAGCTGCTCAAGGTGCTGAGGCGGGAGAATCACCTGAGCCCGGGAGGTCGGGGGCTGCACGGAACCGTGATCGCACCACCGCACTCCAGCCTGGGCAACTAAGCGAGACCCTGCCTCCAAAAATAAGAATAAAGAAAAAAAAAAAAAAAAGAACTGCGGCCCCATTGGCCTGACTCTCCTGAACAGCCTAGCTGTCTCCGACCAGTTACGGAGGAGGCGGCCTTGAGAGGGTAGTGCCCATTGGCTCGATGTCCTGCCCTTCCGAAACCTAAGTCTTTAGCTTCCAATCAGGACTCAGCTTTGGGAAGAGCGCCACGCGGTGGGCGAGACGATGCCCCAGTATATCCGCAGGTCTTTTGACTCTTTCCGCCTTTGTTTACAACCCTGTTGTGATCTCCCTGTTGAAAAAGCGAGGGCTAGAGAACAGGCATTCAAATATCCTGTGCTCCAGTCACAGCCTTTTCTATTCTTCCGCTAGGAGACACCAAACCCTGGGGAAGATTTACTATAGCTAAGAGAAAACTGAAGCAGAAAGGGCGCGGCTACCTACTTCTTAAATTCCGTTTGTGGACCCTCAGACTCTTAGTCCCCTACTCCCAGATACAGCGGCCCTACCGTGGCTCCTGGCAAGGTGGCACCCACTTTTGTAGTGTAAGGATGGGGGCGGGGTTTGGCTGGGCAGGTCCAGGATACGAGATCCTGGAAGAAAGAAAAGGTGGTGTGTTTGGGGCGGTCAACGGGCTACGCTGGCTTGACAGGGCTGGACTCTTCAGAACAGGTAATGCTTGGGGGGCCTGTTTGTCTGAACCTGAGGGATAGGGCTGAAGGTGAAATATCCAGGGGACAGGTGAGGGGGCTTGCTAGTGAGAAAGCGCGGGGGGCGGGGGAGCGGGGATAATAGAAGAGGGAGCAGAGGAGCCCAGAAACTGTAGGGTGTAGGAAGCAGCCATCATTCCCTTTCTGCAACCCTCCGTCTCACACACCTTCCTGCAGAAGCATGGATCTCGGTATCCCTGACCTGCTGGACGGGTGGCTGGAGCCCCCAGAGGATATCTTCTCGACAGGATCCGTCCTGGAGCTGGGACTCCACTGCCCCCCTCCAGAGGTTCCGGTGACTAGGCTACAGGAACAGGGACTGCAAGGCTGGAAGTCCGGTGGGGACCATGGCTGTGTGAGTGTGACGAGTGGGAGTTGGGGTGGGGTTGAGACACAACTCTGTTGTAAGAGGCTTCAGCTCCCACTTGGAGACAGGTCTGAAAACAGACCACCCCGAAAATAGATGTAAGTTGTATAATAACTATCTCCATGCCCAAGAAATGAATGGACTGAAAATGAAGCATAAGGCTGACGTCAGGTAGGACTTCCAAAATTCTTCCCCGCACATATATATAACCTTTTCCTACTGTAGGGCCTTCAAGAGAGTGAGCCTGAAGATTTCTTGAAGCTTTTCATTGATCCCAATGAGGTGTACCGCTCAGAAGCATCTCCTGGCAATGACAGTGGCACCTCTGAGGACCCCTGCCGTCCAGACAGTCCCCCTGCCCCCAGGGCAACCAGTTCTCCTACGCTCTATGAAGTTGTCTATGAGGCAGGGGCCCTGGAGAGGATGCAGGGGGAAACTGGGCCAACTGTAGGCCTCATCTCCATCCAGCTAGGTCAGTGTTCTTTGTGGGAAGGGGAAAATGTCCCTTCGAGACTGGCCCTAACCATGGGGTTAAGGGGGTTTACCCAACCTGTGCCACTACCCAGGCCCTGCTGCTGTCAGGGTCCCTAAGTATCCTTTCTCCCAGCTACCTGTTTTCTACTCCAGATCAGTGGAGCCCAGCATTTATGGTACCTGATTCCTGCATGGTCAGTGAGCTGCCCTTTGATGCTCATGCCCACATCTTGCCCAGAGCAGGCACCTTAGCCCCAGTGCCTTGTACAACCCTGGTGAGTCTTGGTGTCAGCCAGAACCACTACTCCTTGATACATATGTAGTCACACAGACAGGGCAAAGGGATGAGGGAATGGAAACTGATGATGAACTGTCTTTGCCCCAGTTTTTGTGGCATTGGGCCTGAAGACCAAGGACATGAACAGTTGAACAATTTTTTATTTTTTGAGCCAGGGTCTTACTCTGTCGTCCAGGCTGGAGTGCAGTGGTGCAGTCATGGCTCACTGCATCCTCAATGTCTTGGGCTCAAGCAATCCTCCCACCTCAGCCTCCTGAGTAGCTGGGACTACAGGTGTGTGCCACGTCTGGCTAATTTTGGTAGAGATGGGGTTTTGAGGTTTCGCCATGTTGCCCAGGCTCAGGCTCGTCTGAATCTCCTGAGTTCAAGCGATCTCCCTGCCTCAGCCTCCCAAAGTGATGGGATTACAGGCATGAGCCACGGTGCCCGGCCAACATGAACAATATGGAGTCTCACTCTGTCACCCAGGCTGGAGTGCAGTGGCGCGATCTCAGCTCAACTGCAACCTCCGCCTCCTGGGTTCAAGTGATTCACCTGCCTTAGCCTCCCAAGTAGCTGGGACTACAGGTGCCTGCCACCACACCTGGCTAATTTTTGTATTTGTAGTAGAGACGGGGTTTCACCATATTGGCCAGACTGGTCTTGAACTCCTGACTTTGTGATCCGCCTGCCTCAGCCTCCCAAAGTGCTGGGATTACAGGTGTGAGCCACCGTGCCCAGCCCAACATGAACAATTTTAAAAGCAGGAAAGGACAAGAGAGAGAGAACCCTTGTGGGTAAGGTAGCAACAACTCAGTTAAGGTGGGGTGAGGGAATCTGGGGACAGGGCTCAGGAGAAAGCCCAGACTTTGTGTGCATTGTATTCTTAGCCAGAGCCATTATCTTGGCCTTGGGTCAGGACACAGAAATGGACAGGCCACCTGGGAATCCCAACTGGTTATAGGTACAGGAAGGAAGAAAAGCAATAGCAGCAATGTTTCCACTGGAACAGTTGCCCAGGAGGCACCCACTGGCTAGTGCTACAGTGTAGCAGAGGTATCACATTAGATGCTTTCTCAAGGCCGGCTGGGCAGAGTCCAAGGCCAGGTAAAGAGGAGGCTGTGCTCAGATCACTGTTCCTCCCTTTCCTCTGAAAATTACTCCTTGTACCCAAAAGGCAGGGACCAGGTCCTAGCCTCTCTTCAAATCTGCAGTTGAAGCTGGGACCAAAAGCCAAGTTAAGCATCTTAGAATCTTTTTTTTTTAAAAAAAACAGAGTCTCTCTATGTCACTAGGCTGGAGTACAATGGTGCCATCTCAGCTCACTGCAACCTCTGCCTCCCAGGTTCAAGCGATTCTCCTGCCTCAGCCTCCTGAGTAGCTGGGACCACAGGCTCGTGCCACCATGCCCAGCTAATTTTT